CACCTAATCACTTATTCCCTATTTTCTAGTTGTGCATTATATTTTTCCTTCCTAAACGTAGTACCTTGCACTTGTCTTGAACTTCATCTTGTTGATTTTAAATATTGCCCCCTCCAGTGTAATTTAAAGCAATTTAGGGGCTGTGTGAAATTACATTTGCTGCAGCGATCCCACGGGGCCTGCTCTGCCACTGGGGTCAGTCAGAGTGCCCTACTGTCCCAAGCCCCTCCCCAACCCAACATATGCCCTATCTGGAGGGGGCTTTGAGGGAACAGGTGACACAGGATCACCACAGCATCTTGCCCCCTGCCCAACAAAGCTGCACCCCATTCTCACTGTGCCAAAAACTCCATATTGGGACTGCTATTCATCCAGTCCAACGGGACCTCCATCGTGGCCTGTATAGCAGCACCAATACCTGGAGTAACCGCTGCGGGTTGGCAAAGGTCACCCTGGACACACTGAACTGCCTTCTCCTCCTTTTCAGCGGCACAGGCACAATGAGATAGGCTAACAATGCATTCGGGGCGTTCCTGGGAATAGCTGCCTGCAGTTTAAGCAACAGAGTGATGGCTTGTCTACACTAGACAGTTGTCCTGCTTTTGCTGTACTGGCCTAGTTAAAGCAGTATAGCCCTCATACTGTGAGCACATTATATCAGTATAAAGGTGCTTTACTGCAGTACAGCTATTCCAATACAGGAAGGGGAAGAACTTTACCAGGATAAAAGTCTCAGTGAGCAATTACACTGCTCACTGTCCACTCTACGGTTGTTACCAGTGTTACTATTTGGTTAAATAAATCCATCATTCCAACCAGAAATAGTTCTATAAGTGCAGCGTTCAAGGGCAGACCAGGCCTGAGAGGCTGAGACAGCAAGGTGGTGACATCCCTAAAGGGGATGAGTTAAGGTTGTGTGTGAAGCAGCAACTTAACTAGGTGTCTCCTGGCTTCTTCACACAGGAGTATGGGAATAGGAAGAGCACAGAGAACAGGAGGCACTGTTATGCAGCAACAGCCTTAACTGCACCTTAGCAAAGTTCTTTGTAAGCGATTTCCATATTGTACTTCCAGTTAGCTTAGAGAAACTGAGCATTTGTTCCCATATTGCCCAGCTCCTTGCCAGACTTTCCTGTCAGTTCAACTTCCCATGACTCTCTGCAGTTAGAGATTAGGTCATTCTAACTGTTATGAGTCACGCTGTGTCAGACACAACAAGATCACTGTATGAGCATTTCATGAGATTTTTGTTGTCAGTGGAATGGCTCCAAGAAGTCCTCCCACTGCTCTCATTCAGATGCACCCTTGACACAAAGCGGAATGTTACTGAACCCATTAGTGTTTTATCATAAAAGTTTGATGCTAGGGGATGGGGAGCTGAAAGTACTTCTGACTCATTGTTTCAAACTAACCTCTCTACACCTCAGTTTTCCTCATCATCAATTGGAGATGATGAGACTTCCCCACCTGACAGGGAGCTAGGAGCTGGAGTTCATCTTGCTTTGTAAAGCACATTGATGTCTTCAGAAGGAAGGAACGAAGGAAGGAAAGAACTCAATGAACAATAAGTTATTGTTTTTATAATAATCATCTCTTTGTTTCATTTCATCAAGCTCTCTGTCCTGGCCACTCCCTGAATTAACAGAAAAAGGAGTCTGATAACATTTTGGGAGAGTCTTTTCCTAGGATGAAAATATGCTGCACTGAAAAGTTTGTTTTATTTTTCACCTCCCTCACAGAGCCTTGATAAAGTCAGAGATTTCAACTTTGGCAAACTCCCAGACAGACACAGCCCAAACAGGTTTGGTTTATGATTGTTTCACTTCAGATGGAGATACAGCATCCTCATTAGCAGTAACCACAGAGATGGTTGAGAGATTCCAGAGTTTTCTCTGAAGAAGCTGTGACAGCTGTTCTCTCTGTACAATGTAGATAGGAAAGCCCTAGGTCTTTGCTTAGGATTCTAGTCCACTGCAGTTTGTTACATATGTTTGAAGTTTTCAGAAATCTCGATGAGGTTAGCAGAAGGGGCAAATCCATGACAGAAAGAGCTGAGGAACAAGAAAGGAAGGAAAATCCCAGCAGGGTCATCCCTCTCCTAATTCAGAAATTGACCCAAGATATCCTCCAGTGCCACAGAAGAACACCCCAAGAGGTGCACTGTATAATACTTTGTTTTGGAACAAGTACATGCAGCGATGGGAGACAGTCTGCTTAATAAATCTTTACCGTAACTCATAAGATCTAATGCCAACTCCATAAACTGGTTTGAGGAGTCTCCATCTTGGAAACTGCAGGCTGAAAATTTGCCTCTTTTTCCCCCAATTGCTCCCATTGCAGTTGGCAAAGACTGGTTCTTCTCCCCTGTCTGTAGTGTTTGTGATGTACACCGGCTCATGTGAGTCCTGCATGCATTTTGGAAAGAGAAGAAAATCCCAAGAAAATGAAGAAAGTCCATGCAAGTACTGATATACAAACAAATAGGTGACATGCATGACTGTTCAAAGTACCAAGGAATCAATCTGCTGTCCCATTGCATGAGAACGTTAGCTGCATTCACTAAACAGCGGAGCCCATTTTAGGAAAGGAGCAGTTTGACAGATGGTATGCTCATCTCTAGACAGCGGATTGAAAAGAAGCTGGAGGGAATAGTCGAGCTTTCCTTGATTTGGAGAAAGCAGTCAAAGTACCTAGGAGACTGCAGGTGTCTTTGCTACAATTCTACGGGGTGCTAAAGGACCCTGTCTACACGGTGATGGGCTCGCATGAGGGTTCCATGACAAAAGTGCGGACACCTTTCAGTGTAACAGAGAATTTTGAGGTGAAGATTTGGTTCCACGAGGGATCAGCACTTAGTCCTTTACTATCCATAATTGTGATGGACTTTATAAGTAAGCAAATCCAAATGGAAGATGGAAAGGAGTTGATATATGTAGATGATACTGTGCTGCTGGCTGATAGTGAGGAAGATTTGGTCCAGGCAACTGATGCCTGGAACAAGGAACTAAAACTATGGCTTCAAAATGGGTAAAGAAAAGACTGAAGTCACGTGGGTGACTCACATGGAACCAAGACAGATGAATATTGTGATCGAAGGCCAGTGCCTAAGTCAGGTTTCTGCATTAAGTATGTTAAGGGCTGGTTAGCGGCAGCTGGAAAAAACTGATCCAGTGCCCGACTCCAGCTAGCTGGGAAAAGGGGAAGAAGAAGAAGATGACTCTACATCAATTTTGATGTCATATTCCTCTTCCATTATTGTCTCTGGTGGAGAAAGGGATTAGAGTAAAGGAAAAATACCCCAGTCTAACATCTTAAGTTTTCCTTTTATGCCTTCATTTGTCTCCATTAAGAAGGAAATGCTTCTGAGAAGCCATTTGTGGTTATTATTTGGTGCTAAATTTAATAAGATTCCCAAAGTCTCTAGAGATCTTGGTTAATGCAAGGGCGTGCTCACATAAGGGATAATTCAGAAACAAAAACCTTGGTCAAAAATGAACCAAGGTGGAAAGTGGGTTTCAGTGCAGTCTAGCTAGCAACCTAGACACCCAAACACACCCAGGCAGCCCTTTCAAGGAAAAGACAGTGGGAGAAAGTCTGGAAATGAGCATGATAATTCAGAAAATGCCATATAATACATGGCACTCGTCTCCTGAAATCCCCCTTCATTTCTCACCCCATCTGATCCACATGCCCCCCAAACCCAACTCTGTAAATACTTATGTGATGGTCCCAGTAACAAATTACTAGGGATGAGATTATTCCAGCCCTTTTCCAGCTGCACAGGGGACTAACAGAAAGGAAGCCCACCTCCTTAGTGCCCTGCTCAGACTGTGACTCCAACTGCTGGGCTCCTCACCTGGCAATCCCAGCTGTGACCCCTCCCTTCACTCAGTGCCAAGGTAACTGCCCAGGTATACAAGGGGAGTAACTTACTTCCCACCCAGTCCATGGGAGGAGCGGAGGAGGGAATGGGACTGAGTCACAACTCATTCTCTGCTCTGTTCTGCTCCTGGGGTGGTGCAGCTTACCCAGAGGAGGAAGTAAAGTTACAATTTAGCCCTGAAAGATTACTGGCAATGGAACCCTTGAACAGAAAAAAGGATTTTGTGATCTCCTAGTAATTTACCACCAAAAACACATGCATCTACCACTCAACAATAAGGTGAATGCAATGTTTCATCGCTTCCAAGGCCAGAAGGGACCATTGTAATCACCTAGTCTGACCCCCTGTATAACACAGGCCAGAGAATTTCCCCAAAATAAATTCCTACAGCAGATCTTTTAGAAAAAATCCAACCTTGATTTAAAAATTGTCAGTGATGGAGACTTCACCACCATCCTTGGTAAACTGTTCCAGTGGTTAATAACGCTCACTGTTAAAAACTTCTGTCTTAATTCCAGTCTGCATTTGTCTAGTTTCCACATCTAGTCATTGGATCATGTTATACCATTCTCTGCCAGACTGAAAAACCGATTATTAAATATTTGCTCCCCATGTAGATACATACAGACTAATCAAGGCATCCCTTAACCATCTAGATTGTGCTCCTTGAGTCTATCACTATAAACCATGTGTTCTAATCATTTAATGCTTCCTTTCTAAGTAAAGTGCATAATTGGGATGATGTACAAACGTAACAGGAGAAATGATGTATTAGAAATAAGGCAGCTGTGGACAGGTGGAGGGGAAATAGCCCACTGAGGCTCTTGTACATAAGAGGTGAGATTTCACTCTGAACAGTACTGAAGGGGCCAGTTAAACGACCATGTCTGATGTGACATTTCACAGCTGGCTTTTGCCAAAGGACAAATGTGTTTTACTTTAGATCCCATGAATCACACATTATGTAATTTGCTGAATTGATATTGTTTCATTTAATACTTTAAACAAACACTGTAATTATTCCACAAATTACATTTTTTAGATAGGGTTGTCAACCCTTTCTGAGAACATAAGGCAAACGCCGAACGTGACAATGAAAAAACTGCACACAGCTCACCAAAGAACTGTCTGTATTGTTTCTTCTGGTTTTCCACTGACCTACTGCCTGTTTTTCTAGTCATGCATCTTAGCAGCTGCTTGGCTCCCAAATGTGCTTCAGCTTTAACAGTAACAAAGACATGATGTTGAAACAGCTGAGTGGATTTAAGGTTACTGACATTTTTAGGACTCTCTTAGCAATGCTGCTTTCCCTCTAGAGCTGATCATGAAAGTCCTGCATGATCTGAGTTACATTTGTTTTGTTATTTCAGCTCTTGTTCTGTCTCCAGATACTATATTTGTATGTATTTTAGCACAGAGGCAGAAGTGTGACTCGCTGTCTGCATACACATCCCTGAATCTGTCAATTCAAAGGTTGTCTACAGTGTCAATGTCAAGAGCTTAGGACTCTGAATTGTTTCAGGATGGGAAAAACTTGAGCCCTGCTGAGCAAGTGTAGACTTCAAGGCAATCTTTCTGAGTGAAAATTAGCTAAACGAACATGCCCAACGACCCTAGCCCTTGCTGGAAAATGTTACGATGCTAAAGACTGACCAACCAAGGGACTTTAATCAGGGCACATGTATCCTTCCTGCATGAGGGTGTCATGCCAGAAGCTGTGACAGATAGGACAGTCACATAGAGACACCACCTCCAGAGGTTACATACAAGGACAAGATGGGGAGTTGGATTGATCAGCTTGGCTTGTATATCTGTTTATGAGGTTTTCTGTTCAGGACTGGGATGTAAATGTGCAGGGAGCAGAGGGTTGTTCTAGAGTCTTTCAAGGAGCATTGAGACTTGTCAGTTTTCTTGTTAAATGAATTAGATCAATCAAAAGGCATGTCCTCTGCGGTGTTCTGAACCTTCCTGGGCAGGGCTGTCCTTAGGCATATGCAGCATACGCGGCTGCGTAGGGCACCCAAAAATTTCGGGCACCACCAGGACAGCAGGTAAGAGCGGGTCGGCTCCCGCACACCCAGCGCGTGCTGCAGTCTCCTTAGGCACGGGCCGTATTCACAGAGCCGAATGCGCCAGCACCGGGCATTCTGCGTGAGGGAGAGGGTACAGGAGTCTCTGCGGGGAACTGTGACTTTCCGCCGCCATGAGGTGGGCCAGGCGGCTCGGTATCCTTTGCTGCCTCCCCCATCTCAACCCCTGGCCTGCGAGCCAGGGCTGCTGCAGCATCTGCTGCGTACAAAGCTCGGTGTGTGTCAGCAATGATGGTGGGGTTATTCTGGGGCTCCGCAGGCGGGGTAGTGGCTGTGCCCCAAGTTGGGCATAGGGGCACCAGTTTAATAATACTGCATAGGGCCCCATAAATCCAAAGGATGGCCCTGTTCCTGGGGAACCCCAAGGTGTGCAGCCACGATTATGCCCGTGGCTACCCCTTTAGATGCAGTGTCAACTGCACCCACTGCAGCTTGATGGAAGGTTTTGGCCACCAGTCTGCTTTCCTCAATAAGGGCCTGGAATTGGGTCCTGTCCTCTTTAAGGTTTTTGTCCTTGAAGTCCAAGATCTTCAAGTAATTGCTGAAATCATATTTTGCTAAAAAGTCTTGGTAGTTAGCAACATGGAACTGAAGACTTGTAGAAGAAACACCTTCCTCCCTAGAAGGACAAATTGTTCAGAGCCCTTGTCTGCCGGTGTAGCCTTGGGGTGTTGTGACCTAGATCTTTCTTGCACCACCAACGGAGCTGGGTGCTCGGTGTGTGAAGACGACCTCCGCTCCTTTGGCTGGTACAAAATGGTGCCTCTCAGCCTTTTCAGCGTGGAGGTGCAGGCAGCCAGAGTGTGCCAAACTACCCTCATTGGTTCCATGATGCTCTTGCTTACTGGAAGGATCACTCTACTGGGCCATAAGGTTGTAAAATTTTAAGGAGTCATTGTTGAGTATCCTGCACCTCTTCTAGTGGAATCTGGAGGTCATTCGCCACTCTGCAGAAGTCTGTAGTCAACAGGTAGTGATGGCAAGGATGGGGCAATTGCCTCATCTGCTGAGGACGGAGACACACCCATCTGTGCCGGTGGGACCTGCAGATCCAGTTCAATCTCTTCTCCCTCATACTCTGATGGAGCCAACAGGTGTTGCATGGGAGAGGTGTGGTGGGACTGACAGATGGAACTGGAATGTCTGCCATATGGATCCCATGGGCCCCAACATAAAAGATCGACTGGTTGAGGGGGACCCCACAGCACTGGGTACCTTCAGTCCCTTGAACAGTCATATGTAGGTGGAGGACAGATCCCTGATTTTCTTGCGTCCCTGTTTGGAGTCACTGCCCTATCTGGGGGTTAAGGAACTTTTGGAGCCTCCAAAGAGAAAGTTGGTTCCAGCTCAACAGGCAGAGCCATTGGTACCAGTGGCTGAAAGCTCCAGCCTATGGAATGAAGAAAGAAACATTCCCCTCTTTTCGAGGTAGTTCCTTCTCCATGTCATAATGTCTCTAGTCAGACCCGAAAGAAGAGGAGACTAAGGATAAAGTAGGGTGAAGTCATCCTCTGGTGAGGTGAAAGTTTCAGTTTGTCCCAGAGTCCATGATGTGAAAGTAGTCGTGAACGATAGATCTTGTGCATCCACAATCATTGTAGATGGCAGGTCTTTACAGTGATGGGTCGGTACCATCGAAGAGTCTACTTGGAAGCTCTTAGATGGTGTAAGTATATGCCAATCCTTAGGCTTAAGAATCAGAGCTGAAATTGGTTCCATCAGAACTCTTCTCTTTCGATCCTTGCCCACATCTGAGGACTCACCCAACTTGGATGCAGACCTGGAAGGAGATCTGTCCTTATGCTTACAGGAGCACCCCTTACTCTCATGAGAAGTCCTAGATGATGACTTCTTAGGCTTACAGCTCTGGCTTCTGCTCCCTATCTCGTGCTCGGAGGCATGCTGCTCGTCAGTTGAGGCTGATGTATGGGGGAGTCTCCCTGGCCTGGATCAGACTGAGGTCTCATAGCCTTCTCCATAGGATGTTTTCTTAGCCGCAGCTCTTGTGCCTCACAGGTTTGAGGGGGAAATGAACAGCAAATATTGCCCTTAGCTGAGATATGCACGTCTCCCAGACAACAGAGGCAGTGTTGATGTTCATTGCTCACAGAGAAGGAATGGGTACAGGAGACGCAGTTCTTAAACCTTGGACTCTGGGCCTAATCTTTGTCCATAAGGAGAGACTCCATGAGGCAGGGAGAAACTAAGGGTTGGTCTACACTACAAAGTTAGGTCCCTTAACTACATCACTCAGGGGTGTGAAAAATTTCACACTCTGCAATGTAATTAAGCTGACCTAAGCCCCATATAGATTCCTGTAGGTTGATGGAAGATGGTTACCGCATCTCAGAGAGGTGAATTTACTACTGAGATGGAAGAACTCCCCTGTCACTGTAGTATGGGTCTGCACTGCAGCTGTGCTGCTGTAGTGTTTTTAGTGTAGACATACCCTAACTATACTATATATTTACAGGTTTGAAGCAGAAGTCTGGAGAAATCTGTGGACATAGAGGATTCTGACTCAGGCCACGTGGCAGTAAGAAGGAACTGAAGAGGCATAAGTCCCACCAACACTTATACCCTTGGTTCAGAGCACAACAAGAACAACTAAACAGGCACGGACCAACGGACACTACTTGCTAGAAATCTCAGGTGCATGGTGCGTGTGTGTACCCACTTGTGGAATACACATGTAAGGACCAGCACTCGAAGAAGCGCGTATTACGCCAGTCCTGCTCCCTTTGGTAAATTACTGGATTGAGCTGCTGCAATACAGAAGCCCAGCGGTGCCAACTGGCAAAGGATTCACTACTCTGTCGGCAACTCCTATCAGGCCTGACAAACTCACTACTGTTAACACATTGCTTTCATGGTATTTATCTATAAATAATGACTTGTAAGGTATCAAATGAAAGCTGGTGACACACTGGCCATAAGTGATGAAAGCTGTACATACAGATGGTGTGTAAGCAGTTGTGTACCTACTAAAATATGTTTTAAACTATTTAAAAAGGTAAAGTTGACAAACAGGTTTTCTGCCAGACAAACTATCTATATCCATTCACCTATCCCTGTCTCTGATGTAAATTAAGCGTTGTAAGCCAAACACATAGTAGCTACATTTGCATTCCAAGTCAACATGAGGCTGAGAAGTCCCCGTGAGGGTCGGCACACTGAAGAACAAATGGAGGGCGTTTCCAACCTTTACTGGTCTGTAACTGGGGGTCAAGACAGATATTTTGGTTGTCCATCACCGAGGGAGCAAAAAGGACAGCGCCTTTTGCATTCATGAATGGTGGATCCTAGCCATGTAGGTTGGTGAAACTAGGTAGAAGCTTTAGGTGAGACACTGCTTTAGACACGGATTTCAGCCCATTAAAGGTAAATGCAGGCTCTAAGAACCATGTTATACCTTTTGTTTTACATGTAACCATTTCTGTATCCATTATCTTTTCTCAGTATCTCTTAAATCTTTATCTCTGACAATAAACTTACAATTGTTTCACTATAAATACATCTCTGTGCCATGGTGTCCTACAAACCCTGATCCTGAGCTGTACCAATGAAGCTATGAGTATATACTGTTCCTTTGGGAATAGCAAATCTGGTAATTACTGAGAGCATCCAGTGACAGGGGCTGAACACTACAGGGGGATGCTCCAGAGGAGCTCAGGGACTGGGGTACATCCAGTGTTAACTTGCAAGGCAAAGCAGGGGCTGGTAGAGCCCTGAGGAATTTGTTTGGGTGACTAACAGACTGGGGGTGTCAGGGACCTGACACTGTGTTTAGCACAGACAAGTCTCTCTCTCACGGAGGCACGGGGGGGTAACAGTGACTCTCAGCTCTGGGCACCCCAAGAAAGAATCACAGCTATTTCTGCACCAATGCCAGATGTCTGCCGCAGCACAATGACATCCGTGTAGTTCCAAGGGGACAGATTTCCTAAATGTAGACAGGTCCTTGGAAGCTACTACAAGGGCAAGGCAATCTGTATCAACAGACTCTGCCTAGCTGTTCTTTACCTGTCCTGACATGTATCTGTATAAATGCTTCACCAACCTACCTGACGCTCTCGGCTCCAATACAAGACTCAGATGTACAATGGAAGAGCAGCCCACAAGAGGCAAATCTCCTGTAGGGCTACTGATGAGGACAGGTTTTTATCTTAAAACAAAAACAACCCAGTGAATATATGAACAGA